GTGCAAGCAAGGTGGAGGCCGTGGGGCTGATCCCCCATGGGGTGGCTGGGTGGTGGCCACACTTGGGGGTGGGGCTTGGGGGCATCCCTGCCCACCCCCAGAACACCCCCCAAATTCCCCCCGCCAGTGCAACAAGGTTTAGGTGATTAAGGTTTAAGGGAGATTAAGGTTTAAACTCCCCAGCAGGGCAGTCTTGCTTCCCCCCTTTGCTTTCCACACAGTCTGCACCCTTCGGCATCAACAGCCTCTACCCCTTACTGGCTCATTCCATTGCTAGCTAGGGGTTACACAATCAGCACTCCAAGCAACAGGAAAGCAAAGGTCAAACAATGGAACACCTGGAGTGCCATCTGAAGCCATGTTTCTCTTTCGTTTCCCAATGTACCAGCAGGGGGCCAGGAAACGGAAACTTAACTTCTGTCTGTGGGGGCGTGGCTTGTTAGCAGGAAATACTGCATGCAATTTGTTGCTACTCAACTGCTCTTCCTTACTGGTGTCAGCTGCCATCTGTGGTTAGCCTCCCTTCCTCCCCAGGGTTATAAGAAGCGAGATCCTCTCAGAAGGAAAGCATTCTGCGGTGAGAGGAGAACAGCACAGAGGTCTCACTGTTTACTTGACTCTCCAGGGAAGGAGTGGGTTGGAACTGATGGAACAGATGTTGCCAGGAGAGAAGGCGGGTGTTAGGAGAAGTGGAAGATAATTTTTGCTTCCTGTGTTGGCATCTTTTGTTCATATGGGAAGAGTTTGCCTCGAAAGCTGCCTTACCTGCCTGTCACTCTGTTGGCCAGGGAAAGGGGTGGGGGTTTTTTTTGCCGTCATGTCTCAGCCAGGTTATGATGACCTTGTAGGATTTTCAAGGCAATAGATGTTCAGAGGTGGCTTGCCATTGCCTTGCTCGGCATAACAGCCCTGGACTTCCCTGGTGGTCTCCCATCCAAGTGCTGACCAGGGTTGACCCTGCTTAGCTTCTGAGATCTGCCAAGCTTAAGCTAGCCTGGGCTGTCCGGGTTGGGGCAATGGTAGGGGATGCAATTCCCAGCTGGCTGGAATTTAGGGTTTGGTGGAGCATCTAAGTAAGTGGCTCCCTTCCCCCTCCCCCATTTATTGCAAGCCTCTTATGTCCTTTTCCTTAGATAGCAGTCTGCACTCCTTGAACTTTTCTTGGATTGCATCTCCCTGCTGGGAAGAGTTTTCCCTCCTCAGTGCCTGTCCTGTAGTGGTTAAGGGCAAACCTTAAGAGTTGTGCAGAATCTACGGGACTTCTGTTAGGTTAAGGTTTCTCAGGTCAGAAAAAAGCTTGCGTTTTAGCAGCTGCAACTAAACTTCGAAGAATCGTAAACTGGACTGTGAATGACAGCTGTGACTCTGCACATATGTTCATTATTGAAAGCAGTGTTATTTTTGAACAGACATGTCCAGGCTTGGTATCGAAGTTTCCTGTATGGGGAGTGTTTAATGGACTGATTTTATTATCTCCTTGGTTTTCTAGATGGTGTCTTCCACATAGTGATGATCTCCTGTAGTTTCTTGTTGCCAGCTAATGGGGCATCGGTGTAATCAGAGCAATGAAAAGGGCTAGGAACTTATTTGGGGGGGGGGGAATCCAGCAATACCTGGATCACTATAATGCTATAGCAATTAATCTTTTAGGTCCTTTCCGCATTTGCCTGCCACTCCAGATTTTCTGTGTTCAGTTTGAAGCAATGTGAAGTCCACAGCAAAATAGCATCCAAATAACCCGGGGCAATAGCAGGCTGAAACCAGGATGGCCACTGAAGGGAGGTAATGTAATGCAGAATGGCGCGCTGGGAGTGCGGGAGAGGACAGAATAAAAAAAGGTTGGATTCGATTTTAGTGCAGAATTGCCTGGTGGACACCACGGTGAACATGGGTTAAAAGGAGAGTGCAGAAAGGGCCCCAGTTTCCCTGAATGTCCAGTTTTCATTTCTAAAAAGGGTTTATATTTAGGGGGAAGGAAATGGTGGCTGTGGGGGAATGGGGTAGAAAAAATGGTGCCTCAGTGGTCGATAGCTCTGGGCAACAGAAGGTAGGGAAATGCTGCGTACCCACAGGAAAAATTGGAGCAGAGGAAACTTAGAAAGAAAATGGATGCTCAACAAAGCTGTGAGGAAGTTCAGGAATCATTTGTGGTAGTTGGGAGCCCAAACAAAAAGCACATGTGGAAGTCACCAAAGTAAGGAAATGGGCTGAGATGGCTTGTCTTTAATACTGGTTTTGCCTAAGTGGGTTTTTAGGCCTCTCTGCAATTTCTTGAAACTTCTCATGGGAAAAGTTACTTTAGTTCAGTTTTGCAACTGACTTTTTCTTTCTGGGCTTCCTTGGAGAAAACGTGGTTTATGTTAGAGAATTCTGTTTTTCCTTGTAATGTCGGTGTATTCATACTGATACTTACTGCAGTGTGTCTCTGGGTTTCTAGTTGAGCTCAATTTCTATTAATTTGTTTGTCTCATGCACAGTTTATCAGACCCGAAGTAAAAGAAGAATAAAAAAATGGGTGAGTGCTTCAGAGTTCCTTCATCTAAAATACTGTTTTGTATCCCCCACCCCCATGGCTTTTCTTTCCTTCCCCCATAGTCTATATGGTCATGAGATCAACCCATTAATGACACTCCTCCCTACCCCCAAGGTAAAATGACCTTAAGATTGGTTCAGGAAAGGGGTACTATTAGCTGAACAATTTATTTTAGTGCATAACACATCCAAATCCCCATAAGCCAGACATCCAACAGGTAGAGCAGTTGTTATTATTCAAACCCCCTCTGCTTGGTGGGATTGAGACTGGGACAAAGGCAGGCTGCCTCCAGCAGTGGCCTGCCCTTGTCCTGTAACTTAGGAAAATACAGGCCTGTGTTTCAGTCTGTCTCCCGTAGCCAGTTTCTCCTCCTGCCCCTTGTGAAACACAAGCGGGTGAGACTTCCAGAGGGTAGCCATGTCGGCCTGCAGTGAAACAGTGAGATACGAGTCCAGGAGCACCCTTAGTGACCAGGATGTGAGCTCTGGAGCCTCAAAGCTCCTTTCCTCAGACGGGAGTAGAGATGGAGATCTCAGAGTCCTTTTATTCCAGTCTGAAGGCGGGAGGGGTGTTGTAAAAGAATGCAGAGAGGTGCCGTGAATATTGCAATCAGTTTGATTAGAGCAGAGGGGAAATGCCTGTGGGGGGCAGATAATAATCAGTGTCTGTAGTGGGGAAAGAATCCTCTGTCCCTATTCAACCCATTGTTCTGGATTTGTAAACGAACTCAAGTTCAGCAACCTCGTTTAGTAATTCCCCCTTGAAATTTCTTTGTTTGAGAGCTGCTGCTCTTAGGTCAACAATGGATGACCTGGAAGATTAAAATGTTTTCCCACTGGCTTTTGAGTTTTGTGTTTTTTATTGTCAAATTTGTGTCCATTTATTTTTTTGCACAGGGACTGGCCTGTTTGTCTGATGTAGAGAGTGGATATCCACTCTGACAAAACAATAACCAGACCTAACAATACCAGCCATACCATCTCAGGTTCATTCGCTTGTTTATCTCCCAACATGACATATGCCATCAAATTTCAGCGATGCCCCTCCAGGTCATTCCATTGCTGACCTTAGCTTATACCCTGAAACTCTGCTTGGTCTCTGAGATGCTACTAGACTCGAATCAAACTGTTTTACAAGCTGGTGAGGGACATCAGGAGCAGGAACTGATGGGGTTCAAAACAAATTTGGAAGAAGTAAGGAATCCACTAGGAATACTGTCATGGCAGCCCCTAACCCTGAGTGACTGCTGAACAATGTGTGTTAATACTCTTTCTCTGTGAAGTTGCTATGGATTTTTTTGGTTTCCTCTGGAATAGCTCCCAAAATAACAACCAGTCATTTGCTTTATGACAGCAGAGTTGACATTGACAACCTAACACTGTCCTGTGTTTTTCCCCATTAACCAGTTTGTCCAGAATGGGGCAATAGCAATGTGACTGATTTCCCCCATCTTCATGTGAGCTGTAACACAGATTGTCTGGTGCTCCTCTTTAAACGGAATGTATTAGGGTCTATTTATGCTACCATAGAACTTGTTTCTCCCGCAGTTTCTGCAGCTAGAGAATTACGATGCATAATGTCATGCCAATATCAGTTTGACCAATTTTCATAAACTAAATTAACATTATGGGCCAATCCAGATCTAAAAATTGGGAAGAATTTTGTGTGTGTGGAAGGCTTAGACAGGTTTTTTTTTTTAATAGACTATGATGATGAGGTTTTGTCATTTTCTCAGCTGAGGTCTGCTGTTTGTTCTCTGCTGAATGGCAGTATTTACAACTGCAGCTTCTGTTGGTGTCTAAATAGGCCCTGCAGTACTAAGTGTTCCAGAGTCTCCCTTACTCCTGTAAAATATCATTGAATCAATGCAGAAAATGATACCTACAATATTTGGTTATAAATATTTGATGCTAATTAATCAATGAAATGCATATTGTCAGGAATTAATGGAGTAAACATCTATATCGCCCTATTTGCCAAAGTAATGTGATATGACCCTAAATTTTATACTTCTTGTTCCTATGGATCTCAAGCTGCAACTTATTCAGCAAAAAATTATGTTTAGGATATATTGGAGACCACAGTGCCTTTTGAGTAAAAGACTAAGTAAAGTGTCTGCTGGCATTGAAACTTACATGACACATTTCTTAATCATATCCCCTGGGTATGTCCAGTCGCTTTGGGTGTGTCCAGTTATTCACTTTTTTGGAGGAAGTAATTACTCGTATCTGTTTTGTTTTAAAGTATTCATTGATCCGTGAGGATGTTTATGTGTACTTGCATGTTTCCTGGGGACTAACTGATGGTCAACAGAAATGGACCCTCCGTTCCCTTTGCTGTTGTTTTTTGCCATTAAGTCACAGCCAACTTGGAGCTGCGGTGCACTCAAGTGGTTAAGACGCTGAACTGCAGGCTGTGGAAGGTCAGTAGTTCAGCAGTTCGAGACCCGGGTGCCGCATGACGGAGTGAGCTCCCGTCTCTAGTTCCAGCTCCTGCCAACCTAGCAGTTCGAAAGCAAGAAACTGCAAGTAGATAAATAGGTACAGCTTCAGTGGGAAGGTAACAGCGTTCCGTGTGCCTTGGTGTTTAGTCATGCCGGCCACATGACCACGGAAACGTCTTCGGACAGCGCTGGCTCTTCGGCTTTGAAATGGAGATGAGCACCGCAACCCTAGAGTTGGACTCAACTGGCTTTCAAGCAAGGGAACCTTTACCTTTACGTTTACACGGCCAACTTATGGCAACCCTGTAGGGTTTTCAAGGCAAGAGGCCCTCAGAGCTGAGTTGCCATTGCCTGCCTCCATGTCACAGCCCTGGTATTCCTTGGAGGTTTCCCATCCAAATATTTACCCGGGCCAGCCCCGCTTAGCTTCTGAGATCTGAAGAGATTGGGCTAGCCAGCAATGGTGGCAAGTCTGCACATAAGCATCTATAAAGGGTTTCTAAATATCTAAAAATATGTTCATACGCAGTTGTTGTCTATATGATGTTCAAACGTTGATAAGGTTTTAAGGCTGTCAATCCATTCGGTTATGGGAGATGGGCATTTATCTCTCCGGTGTTGTAATTCACACTAAACAATCCACTTTTAGTGCACTTTCCAACTGGGTTTTACTGTGTGAACTGGCAAAATCCAGTTGGAAAGTGCATTGAAAGTAGATTTTTCTTTTAGTGTGTGTGACTGCAGCCCTAGTTTGCCAAATCAAAGTTCAGATTCCCCCCCCCCCCCCCCCCCCCTTTCCCCTCCGGTTGGGGGCAAGAAGGGGTAGAGACTGTTTTTGTCACGTTGCCTCCAGGCCTAATAACAGGGGTTGGTAAAACTGCAAAGTCAAGCTTAGTTAAATCCGTCTGTCTGTGTGTCGTAGCCGCCCCAGTCTGAATTGGCGAGGGGCCCTCCATGGCTGCAGTTCTAAAATGGGTGGGCAGGTCTGCTTGTTTGGCCCAGAAAGAAAAGCTTTGGGGAAGTGTACTTTACCCCTGAATCAGTTTTAATTCAGAAAGCATGCTCTGGCTGAGATCCGGTTGACACCAGGCTTGCTAGCTGAAGCTCTTACCTTGTCCCTTGTGCTCATATCTTGAATATCTCTTGCTCAAATATCTTTCCATAATTGCAGTCTTGCCTGGAATAATGCTCGGAGCCGTGGCTGGCTTGGGTAAGTTGTAGGTTTGTTACCTCTAAATGGCATTATCTCTATATCTAATAATGAGGGGGGGGGCATCTGTGGATACTTAAATACACATCTGGACAAAGCTGATAAAAACTAATTCACCACCATCTTCTTCCTTGATGGCGGGGGTGGGGGGAGGTGAGAAGCTTTGGCAGGCCCAACAGCAGAGGCCAGGAGTCATGCGCAGGCTCACTGGCATCAGTGCTGGGGGGAGGGACAAGCCACAGCAGCTGGGGGTCGCCAGGAGGAGAGAGAGAGGGAAGGGAAAAGTGAAGTCCTTGAGGGTTCCTGACCATGAAAGTGGGTTTGACTCAGTGGCCTGGCCAGCACCACACAACTGGGGCAGATAAATGTCGGTTCACTGTTGGGCGGGAAGGAAGCAGGAGAAGGGGAGAAGCTGTGGAGCTTTCAGGAAAGGGGAAGAGGAAACAGTGGGTCAGGGGAAAATGAGATGCCTCCCACAAGTCCTTGCAGGTTCCTGCTTGTATTTATATAGTATTATCATTGCCGACGAAAGTGTTCATTGTCGCAGCAAATGCAGTGGCCATCACTGCTTGATCCATTAGGCCAAGTGGCAGTGGTGGTTTGGGGCATTCTTAGATGGGAAGGATCTGGCTACAGGTGTTAGTGCCTTACTGGCACAGTATTAGACTTCAACAGTATCCGGTCTTCTTATTGTGTTAAGGAGCTGCATGTGGGCCAGACCCTGGGTGCCAGATTGCTGAGAGGGGCAAGCTGTCAGCAGCAGGGTTCATCAGCAGTGGTTTCAGGCATAATCAAGACGCTGGTCCTTACTCTAATCCCACATCAAGGACACCACAGGTTATGTTGTGTGGCCTTACCAGGAAGCTGAAGTCATCTTCTGGGATTTGACAGTGGGGGTACACAGAGCAAGAAGAACGGCCACAAGATGCAGTACCAGACATTTAGAAGGGAGGGGGGCCGTCTGTCTTCTCAGTACTTTCACAGCTGCCGAGAGGTCTTTATAAAAAGCCTCTTTTAAGTTTAGATTGTACTATAAAAGACCTTTTAAAAGGATTTCCTTGGCTAATGAGCAACTTGCAAGTTGCAACTGTTTTCTTGACAGCCGTCCAGTTTTATTACGGGTTGTGTCTTCCTGCTGTTCTCATTTTGTTGTAATCTGTTGTGAGCTGCCAGGAGGTCCTCGCAAGATAGCAAGTATTAAGCACACTGTAACTAATATTGCACTTTTGGACGGCAGCAGCCACAGCCGCGGTCCCACCACTTGCTGGGCTGCTGGGTTTTACTGGAGCTGGAATTGCAGCTGGATCCACAGCTGCAGGCTGGATGTCGACCTCTGCCATTGCCAGCGGTGGAGGAGTGGCTGCCGGGAGCCTCGTGGCCGTGCTGCAGTCAATCGGTATGTCTCCTCAGTCACTTTGTGATGAACCAAGGGTTTGTGCTAATGATGAGAATGACACCTAATTCACGAGTGTCTCTCAGAGTGCATTAATGTTCTGTTTTTCATTTCGCTTGGTTACCACGTTTTGTTTCATCATTTCCCCACAGCTTTGTCGACAAGCTTCCTAAAAGCTGCTTTCCCTCAATTTTTTAAAAATGGCTTGATTTTGGGTTTTTGCCAGTCTATAAAGCAGTTTCTTATTACCTTGCCATTTTGTTTTGGTGTGGGATGGGTGGTGATTTTTAAAAGATTTGCGTGCCAGTGATGTACTGCGCACATGGTAAAAGAACCTGCAATGGCTGATCCTAACGCAGACAACAAGCAGCTGTGCCTCTTCTCCTCAGTCCCACTGGGAACATTCCTTCAAAGAGCATGCCCACCCGTCAGCCAGTCCCTCTCACTTCTTCTGCAGCATGGCTCTTCCCCTGTGCCTTCCTTTTTAACCTCTCCCCGCTGAGTGTTGTACTTCTTGTCTACCCCCCTGCCATGCCACCCTGTTCTTCAGCTCGCCTTCTCCATCCTCTCCCTCAGCTCAGCACAGAGATACACATGGCTTGCCCCTGCCTGCCTCATAAGTGTGTGCGTGCACGCCCACTGTGTGCTCTTGCCTCTTGGTCGCTGGTTGTGTCATTTGTTTTGCCAAGGCCACCCCTGCCTGTGCACCAGTCCATCCTCAGCCTGAAGCTGTGAGACACAAAAGCTCAGGAACAGAACTGATAATCAGAAGGCTCATCAATTACTGAAGACTGTGTCTGCCTGCCTTCTATCCCCCCCCACCTTCTCCCTCACTCCCTCTTCCATACCCGCCCTTCACAAACAGGACAACAAAACAGCGTAAGGGCACTTTGAAGAACCTTAACCATTAATTTACAAGTCAACATCACTTTAGTCATGTCATCAGGCATAATCATAGCTGTGCAGAATACTTCAGCTACTGTCTGTAATTCAAAAAGGGATGGAAAGACAGGACAGCCAATCAAAACAACCAGTCACATTTGGGAAAGCAGATAACCAACCGAAGGCCATATTTGTATGCAAGCGGTGATTTGCCAGTGGGCTTCTTGAGGTGGTAACCAATTAAGCAACTCAGTGATATAGCGCTATAGCGCAAGTGCCAAAAAACGGGGGAAATGCTGCAAACTGAAGGTAGGATGCACATGGGGAAGTTCCACATAAAAACTGGCAGTGAGGACTGATTGCCCCAAACATGCTATGATCGGAGGCAAGTAAAAAGCAGATCAAGGCTGCAGACTAGAAGATCTCACAGCAATATGTTCTCTCGCTTCTCACCCCAGGTGCTGCAGGTATGTCAGCAGCTACCTACGTTGCAGGGGCAGCAGGCGGAGCAACTGGAGGAGCGCTCCTGGTTGCCCTTCTCTAAAGAAAGCTGGAAGAGTCCTTCTAGGCTCTGCAGAGGAAGAGTGCCGTGCTGCCTGCTTCTGGATGAGCCTTGGCTAATACCTAAGAAGAAATCCGTTCTAACGTGAAGAGGTGCATGCTACTTGTCTTCGCTGGCACAGAAAAATCTATTTTCAGGTTTCTGTTTCTTCCTTGCAGTTTTTTCACTTCAACTCTTTAAGGGTGTATCTATATGGGAGCTTCTCTTGCTATAGTCTCAGTAGCTTCATGCCGGGATGGAAAAAATGCTGTGTTGTGAGGGGTAGTAGTGCCTGTTATAATGCTAGACTTAAATTCTGTGGAAATAAATAATGTAATGTGATCCTGGGCCTCCCGAGAGGGAGAAAAAGTGTACCATGAAACTCCTGTCTTATGGAAGGTGGTCCAATACAGTTAATGGAGAGAGATGGGTTGAAGAACTTGTTATGCAAATGGCGAGCAATTCTGTATTTGTGTTGGTAAACTGTAACACCTTTTAATTGTCAAGTCGGAACAAGACCATTTTGGGGCGACTGCCTATTTATAATTGTGCCTATGTTTGGATGCATTGTAAGGGTTATTTGAAATCATAAAAGATTATCCCATTTTCTCAAGATGGAGCTATACATCACCATACCAATCATGCAGGATACTCAGCACTAACATTGTAAACGTCTGACTTAAAAAAAATAAAGATATGTAGCAATATGGCTAATATTGAGTGAAACATACTGAAATATATAATGAAAGGAAGAAAATCTTCAACTTTTACAAAAATCAACTAATTGTATGGTTGTATCCTGGCAACAGGGGCACTTTCCTCCCTGGCAGACCAAGGCAGCAGGGTAATGAGGTCGCTCTGATCCACTCTGGAGCTCTGGGCAGAGAAAGCCTCAACATGAAGCTACCATAGGAGGTTGTGGTTAGGGAAAGCAACAATATTATTCTTTGAACAACTTCCATGTGAACTTTCCATTCGACTTTCTCCTCCCTCGCCAACATCTTTTTTTCCTAGTTAGATTTGAGTCCAGCAATATTTTGGAGACATAAGCAATGCTCCCTCTAAGCTGTGGAGTCTTGTGAGCAAAAAATTCTACTTTGTGAGCTACTGGCATTAAAGTTGTGAGCGAGCGATTTGGCTCCTGCATGAATTAGTTTGCTCTGGAGCCATCCTCCCTGAGCTAGGACAAAAAAATGTGTGAGCCAGTGGCTAGAAAACTGTGAGCTAGCTCACACTAACTCAGCTTAGAGGGAACACTGGACGTAAGCTTTCGGAAGTCAAAGGGAGCTTTGACTTTCAGAAGTTCATACCCCAAGAGTTGGTCTCTCAGTTGCTGTCAAGGCCGCCCTGCCTTGTTCTGAGTGAACTGTTCCCGTCTCAGACCCGAGACCCTGGAACAAGACCCTCCTTTGATCATGTCACCAAGATTACCAGTTGACATACAGCAACAAAACACTAGAAAGCTAAATAAGCTTATAGAAAAGGGGGTTTAAAACAATATAGTTTTGGTGAAGGTTCAAAGTACATAACAACATGAAAGCTAATTTCCTAAGTACTTCACTGAGGTTTCTTACGGTGTGGATATTAAGTTCTTGAAGCACTGGCAGACACAGTTCAAAGCCAAGCAGCACAAGAGGGTTGCCAAGTTTGTCCCTGTAACTTAAGCTGGTGGGACAAGGATGGGATGTTTGCTCAGTGAACATGGATGAAACCCCGAAGCATGTGCAGAAGCTCAGATCAGCTGCATCCATCACATGCTGCAACTGGCTGTCATCATTAGCCAGCTACTTCTAGTGCTCGCAGTGGTCACATATGCTACCCTAGACTCTTGAGGAAGCAGTCATTTTAGTGGTACATTTCCCCAGGCTTCTATGGTTCCTATGACATTTCAATCAGCATCTCAACGATCGGCACAGACTTGTTTTTCTATCACCTCAGGTGCTATATATACACTCCTTCACCTTCCACTCTGCACCTGATGACAGATACCTCCCTTGGGTGTTGGGGGCACTCACGGCAATACAGATTTCATCAGTCAACCCTGATGTTCACAGGAGAGGAAGCACCACATCAACCTGGAGCTTCTGGCAATGTACAAATCATTCTGTGCTTTATTCCCCAGGCTGCAGGGCAAGGTAATACAGATGGCCAGTGATAACATGGCCACCATCAATGTTCCCTCTAAGCTGTGGTGTCTTGTGAGCAAAAATTCTACTTTGTGAGCTACTGGCATTCAAGCTGTGAGCGAGCAATTTGACTACTGCATAAATTACTTTGCTCTGGAGCCATCCTTCCTGAGCTAAGACAAAAATCTGTGAGCCGGAGGGTAAAAAACTGTGTGCTAGCTCACACTACCTCAGCTTAGAGGGAATACTGGTGGCCACCATGTATTACTCCAACAAATATGGTGCCACTACATTGCACACATCCTGGACAGCCTTGTCTGATGCCTATGGAAGAGAGGCCTCAGATATGAACCCCCATCCGTATTCAGGTTTCAGGGGAACACAATATCCAAGCTGATGCTCTTAGATTCAGGACATGGCGGCCCATGAGAAGACATTCATATACAGTTTAACAGAATTCTGTGTTTCATCAGTGGGACACGCATGAGGTCAAATCAAGGATCTTCAATTCTGCAACCAGGGAGGTTGCATGTCCCTGGGAGCTGTCCTATATATACATCAAGATGCCTGTTCTATGCATTCCCCTTTTTAGCAAGGTAACAGAGAAGAAGACAGGGATCACACAGGCAGCATTCCGATCACAGCACACTGGCCATGCCAAGTGTGGTTCAGAAAGGTTCCAGCTGTTGTCCCACTTGCCAAGGGTGCCAGACTTCCTGTCCAACATAATAGCAGGAAGTCTAGAGAAACCTCACTAGTTGCAGATGTCCTGCAACTAGTGGCCTGAAGGATTCAACTCAATCCCAGAGACATGGAGAGAGAGATAATGGTAAACACGAGGAAGCCACCCACCAGACATTCTTATGAGTGCAAGCTCTTCATTACCTTCACTTCCCAGCATGGGTGAGGTCTATCTGTCTTGACACTGATATCCCTCCTACACTATGTACTCAACCTCGAGTCTCTAGGTTTGGCACACTCATCCTTTAGGCTGCCCATCTGGCTGCCATCCCAGCTTCTCAATCACTTACACAAGGAAGCTTGCTGTTCACCTATAGTGAAGCAGTTCTTTCAGGGTCCTGTTTGGCACTATCCTTGAATTAAATCTGTGTTCCACGCATGGGACCTGCTGTTTATCCTTACCCATATGATGGAAAGCCCATCAAACCACTGCTTGTGTGACTGTCTTCTTTCTTTTTAAGTAATTTGGGGGGAGAGGAATCCCTTCTACTAGAAGGACATCCGTGCTTCCTGACCTGAGATATGATCCTCCATTTTCCCAGGGACAAGGTGGGTCTGCAAATGGATATCTCTTCCGAAGGTAGTCTCAGGGTTCCATGGCATCCAAGACTGAGTCCTCCTGATCTTCTTTCCATACACTTCTACAGATGCAGTATGAGCTTTGCACTCCTTAGACATCAGGAGGACCCTTTCCTTCTATACTGATGGAACTGCTGCTTTCTGTCAGCACACAGCTCTCTTTGTTTGCTATTCCAGCCCTCAAAAAGGAACAGATACACTCCCCAGACAAAGCTGTTTTCTAAACCACTCCAATAAAGAATATTAGCTTATTCCACTAGAGCTGTAGCAATAGCTTCAGTCTTCAGTAGAGGGGTGCTTCTTCAAGAACTACACCAAGCTGCCACTTGGGCCCAGCCATGAGCCAGTTTGGTCTAGTGGTTAAGTGCGCGGACTCTCATCTGGGAGAACCGGGTTTGATTCCCCACTCCTCCACTTGCACCTGCTGATGTGACCTTGGGTCAGTCACAAGCTCTGGCACAGCTGTTCTTGAAAGAGCAGTTTGTGTCAGAGTTCTCTCAGCCCCTCCCACCTCACAGGGTGTCTGTTGTGGGGAGGGGAAGGGAAAGGAGTTTGTAAGCCGCTCTGAGACTCCGTGAAGGGCGGGGTATAAATCCATTCTCCTCCTCCTCCTCTTCTTCTTCTTCTTCCTTCTTCCTTCTTCTTTCTTCCTTCTTCCTTCTTCTTTCTTCCTTCTTCCTTCTTCTTTCTTCCTTCTTCCTTCTTCTTTCTTCCTTCTTCCTTCTTCTTTCTTCCTTCTTCCTTCTTCTTTCTTCCTTCTTCCTTCTTCTTTCTTCCTTCTTCCTTCTTCTTTCTTCCTTCTTCCTTTCTTCTTTCTTCTTTCCAAATTCCAAAAATGGAATTCCGAGTTCAAAGTTCCAAATACCAAAAATGGTGTTCCAAGTTCTAGATTCCAAAAATGGTATTCCGAGTTCCAAATTAAAAAATTAGAA